TCCTTTTTTAGTTCTTGCTCAGCATCTCATTGACAGCATTGGAGACAGGATATCAAGTGAAATGGACCTTGATGTGATCTCTTGTGAATATTCCTATATTCTTAAAGAAACGTGTCACACTTCAGTGAATCTCTTTTAATTTGTTGGAAATAACAACTGTCTTCTTTGCAAAACTGAAGTCAACAGACACCAGTTCTTTTGTCTTTGGGAATCACTTTTCTCCATTGTAGCCTGCTAATCTGATGAGGCAGTCCTTGGCAGCTGTTTTATTCCCAGATAAGTAATACAGAGACTCTGATGGAGGGATCTGCCATTTTTATAGCCAGTAACAATACTTCAGAAGGGAAGGAAAGGAAAGGAAAGAGCCCACAAGCAAATTTGATCATGGGAGTTGTTGACAAATCCATGATGTCTCTTTTGTAAAAAAATGTAAGTATAAAATATGACTCATGCTAATGGTCTCACATTTGTGGGCATAGTCAGTATCTTAATCTATGAACATTCTTGTGGGGATTGTATAGCTCCCTTTGAAATTACGGTTGCTGCATGAAGAAGAAGAGCATGTGAATGCCTCCTGGAAAGGCCATGACTTTGAAAACTATAAACTCCTTTCTATTGGGAAAAGCACATAGAAAATAGCTGTCACTGCATTTTTAAAATCCAGTGGAGATATAGAGTGGTTAAGTATGGGGAAAATATGCCACCTGACCTATGCAATTGTGCCAGCTTGCCAAGTCCATAGGAAGGTCTAAGTTATTTCAGAGGAAACTGTGGTGGGTTGACCCTGGCTGGATGCCAGGTGCCCACCAAAGCTGCTCTACCACTCCCCCTCCTCAGCTGGACAAAGGAGAGAAAATACAGCGAAAGGCTCGTGGGTCGAGATAAGGACAGAGAGAGAACACTCACCAGTTACTCACAGGGGCAAAACAGACTTGACTTGGGGAAATTAGTTTAATTTACCACCAATCAAACCAGAGCAGGGTAATAAGAAATAAAATCAAATCTTAAAACACCTTCCCCCCACCCCTCACTTCTTCCTGGGCACAGCTTCACTCCCAAATTCCCTACCTCCTCCCCTCAAGCAGCACAGGTGGACGGGGAATGGGGGTTATGGTCAGTTCATCACACATTATTTCTGCCCCTCCTTCCTCCTCAGGGGCAGGACTCTTCACACTCTTCCCCTGCTCCAGTGTGGGGTCCCTCCCACAGGAGGCAGTCCTCCACAAACTTCTCCAACGTGAGTCCTTCCCATGGGCTGCAGTTCTCCATGAACTGCTCCAGCATGGGTGCCTTCCACAGGGTGCAGTCCTTCACGAACAGACTGCTCCAGCGTGGGTCCCCTGCAGGGTCACAAGTCCTGCCAGAAAACCTGCTCCAGCGTGGGCTCCTCTCTCCATGGGGCTACAGGTCCTGCCAGGATCCTGCTCCAGCGTGGGCTTCCCACGGGGTCACAGCCTCCTTTGGGCATCCACCTGCTCTGGCACGGGGCCCTCCGAGGGCTGCAGATGGATATCTGCTCCACATTGGACCTCCCTGGGCTGCAGGGGGACAGCCTGCCTCACCATGGTCTTCACCACGGGCTGCAGGGGAATCTCTGCTCCGGTGCCTGGAGCACCTCCTCCCCCTCCTTCTTCACTGACCTGGGGGTCTGCAGGGTTGGTTCTCTTACATGTTCTCACTCCTCTCTCTGGCTGCAGTCTCTATTGTGCAGTGGGTTTTTCCCCTTCTTAAATACGTTATCCCAGAGTAGGCACTACTACCATCTCTGATGGGCTCGGCCTTAGCCAGTGATGGGTCTGTCTTGGAGCCAGTTGACACTGTCTCTGTTGGACACAGGGAATCTTCTTGCAGCTTCTTACAGAAGCCACCCCTATAGCACCCCCCCCTCCCAAACCTTGCCACGCAAACCCAATACAGAAACAAGGCTGGAATTACAACATTTCAAGGTTCAGTGTGTCTAAGGGCTGTTCCTGGGCTGATGTGGATACAGTCAGCCCCTTACAGGGGCAGAGTCTAACTTGAGAATCTGGCCACACTGCAAAGACACAGCAACAGGCAGAAATAGCACTGTTAGAACAAAACTGTCTTTGTATGTTCCTACACACAGTACTGTTGTAGGACATGAGCAAAACCTGATGTTTCCCCATATATCACTATTCATACAGTGAAGAGTTGATAAGCACCAGCGTAAAATAACGTTTATGGTTTCTCAGGCATAGCATTTTAAGTGGCTTTCAGTGGCTTTCCACTTCAGCATCGTTGTTGCTAAGCAGCATCATGGGAACAGCCTACAGCATGCTGTCAGTCTACAGAAAATGACAATGCTAACTTTCAAAATTATTTTTTTCTAGTTGTCCAGTGCTTGCTTTCAGCCTTTAAGTATTAGTGCGTGTTTGTCTGGAAGAAAAACACCCCCCCTGGAATGTATGGTTTTTTAATGTTTAGAACTTCAGAGAGTTTACATAGAGTCAGGGAACAATTATTCTGAACAGTGAGAGTCTCTGTCATAGATAGGAACATTTAATAACTCTATTCTATTTAGTCCTTACACTATATCCATTGTCATAACACTCTATGTGCAGAAATAACAAGCACAGACCACCTTAGCATACTTGTGTTGCACAGTGGTATTGTTCATAAGACTCAGAAAAATCTCCCTTGCTGTATGCATTACAATGAATCCTGATTTAAAAAAAAAAAAGATATTAAAAAGGAATTGTATCAGATTTTTTTTAATGCGGTTTGTTCAGTTTGCAGAATACCAGTTGTAGATTGGTATGTCACAATATCTACAAAGTAAGCTGTTCAAACTGTGAGAAAAAACACTGAATAATCAAACTTCATTTCTGAGAAGAGAAGGGGAGGAAAACATGACAGTTACTATTCACTGTGCAATTTTGAGTACCTAAAATGAAGGAAACATTCCCTGAAAGTCCTGAGGAAAGGAAAGGAAACAAATGTCCAAATATAGTAGAGGAAGCATATTAACCTGATAGAAAAATATGCATCAGTATGAATTCTTCATTGTCATGTTACGAGAATAGACCTCAAAAGCTACAAATCTCTCTCAGAGAGAAAACATTTAAACTTTCTTAGCAAATATTCTTTCCAGCTGGAGACAAGAAAGGAACAAATCTCTGCTGCATGATGTTCTTCATCCTCAGAAACTTTAAAAAATTTGAGCAATGGATACAAGTGTTTCAGTTTTGGTTAAACTCTCCTTTGCCTCTGTATATAAGCAGAGAAGTCTAGGAGTCCAGATATTTGCAGCTGATCATCACAGTCATTCTAGCTGGCTCTAGTTTATAAAGTTACATCACAGAGAACTTTCTACAGCCTCCGGCATGCATTTTCCACTGTTCAGAACATTTCTGTAGGCAGGAGTAGATTTCATACTCAGGTTTCTAAGCCCACGTTTCAAGCAATGATCCAAACAGTTATCACTGCTAAATAGTAGCTAGTAGCTGGAACCCTCAGTGGCTAATGTAAAGTCTTATCTGGGACAAGTGAAAACTGTTGATGTAGAAAAGATGGTTCACTATAAAGATGAATTTAGACCATTATCTCAAAGTGTTGTGAATCTACAAAGTTCGCAAAGTACACCTTAGATGAGCTACACCAAGAAATCAGTCTCTGGCGGCTTTTTCCTGAGATTATAGTAGCTTTTTTATTATATACATCATAAAAGTGTTTTGGGACATCCTTTACTATCAAAACCAAAGCTTTTAAAGTTTCTAACATTGCCACAGGGACTTGCATCTACCATTAAGAGGATAGAGTCTGAAAACATAAAAAATAAAGAATCAGAAATCTCACCTAGTGTTCCTCTTGGGGTAACATTCATATAAAGCTGAACTTTAAAATACCAATCTCATTTGCAATAAATTTCCATGACTGTTTTGACAGAAGTAGGAAGCCAATGCTACCTACTGTAACTGGCAACTTATCAGAGACATATCTGGAAAATATTGCCGATGCCTTTCCTGCTTATCTTGTGCACAAAATACAGTGTAATTTGTTGGGTTTGATGTAGTCACATCAGTGTTATTTCCCAGTGCCTGAGCAGTGCTTAATGATATCCTGAAGGGGAAGGCTACTCATTAGCAGCAGTAACAAAGCAGAGCAGCCTCCGTAAATTAATGATCTGTTCTCCCCATAGTCCTTGACATTGGGAAATATTAACTTTGTTTTATTGATCAGAAAACAGAGAAGTGAGATGAAATGACTTGCCGCAGCCATGCAGGAAATTTGTAGTAGGCCCAGGAAAAAATGCATCTCCTAAATTCCACTTTGGGGGTTTACATTTCAGTAGCTCCAGTGATAAATGTGGAAGGAGGAAAGAGATTTGTCCTGTGCTGTCAGGAAGAGTTTCTCCTTCATCATTTGTGTCCAAGCAATGAAAAACATCAGTGCTTTACAGGAGCAGCTCTTACCTTGGGGTTATTTGGATCCATCCTCATCAGAACTTTATTATTTTTGGTAAATTTTTTCTAAGTCTTATTTCCCTTGTGCAGTAAGTGAGGATGGTGCCAATAATTGCACCAATGCTGGCACAACACCACGCGGGAAGAAGATGGATATGGAGCCTGAACAGTATCAGTAGGAATTCCCACTAACGAAAAAGCACTAAAGCTTGCTGGCCTTATTGCAATATATCCATATTGGTCCTGTCCCACCCTTAGCTCTTTATTTTACAATAACTACATTTTACAATTATTGATAAATAAGTCCCACTGAATTAAGGAGGATATTGTTTAAGTATACATGGCTGGACAATAAGTCTTGCAGATTCACAAGTGTTGACTCAGTACCCAAACAATTATTTCATAAAATAACTGTATTACAATTTCAAATAGCTACTTGAAAGCATGTTAGTTTCAATATGTCTTTAGCAAGTTATGTACTGTATTTCTCTTCAGGAGAGACAAAGAAATGAAAGCAATGCTGCTCTTCATTCTTTCCAGACCTACATAGACTGTTTGTCCATAGCAGGAACGTACCTGTTGGAGGCAGTGCTGTGGGTTCCGCTGGTAAAAACTCCTGGGATGGTAAGCACTCTCTGGAAAACGTGAGGTCATCGAGTGCTATGCCATCTTTGGGACTTTTTCCAGCTATCCCTTCAAAGACAACTTGGAAATCTTCATCTCCATCTCCAGCCAGGATCAGTGCCTTGCGTTGCCAGAAATTTCCCTGGTTTCCAGTAAGATTAAGGAGAACTTTTTCATGTTTTGCTGTAGTCCTCTGGTAGACAATCAATGATCCAATGTGAGCTCCATACATATGGTAATAGAAAAGTATCTGTAAGCAAGGACAGAGCATCAAGTATACAATAGGTGACTTCAGACACATTCTGCTATTGTATTTACCCTAATTATTAAATTGAGCATCATTAGTAGCATGCAGAGGAGCCCTTAATTTTACTGATTGAAAAACAGTTGAATTAAAATGCACACAAGAAGACTTAATAGTGAAAATTTTTTAACTATTCCATAAGCCAAACTTTGAAGCCAGCATTACAATACTGTGAGAGGTGATCTTGCATCCCTTTGAGTAACTCTTGCACGTAGATGTAAAAGAATGAAATGCTTCATAAGGAAACAGAGGAATGGAGCAGTGTCATTTACAATGGGAAGTAAATTCAGTTTACTGAACACTTTTCTGTTTATAAATGTGTTTGTGCTAGATTATAGAGTGTGTAATTAGAAAATAGTCTTCTCTAATATGGGAGCAAAACTTCTACCTGGACTGCAGAAATGTAAAACAATAGCTAAAATAAAACATAAGAGGTCCTTGGATTAGAAAACTCTGGTTTTTATTTATTTTTTTTTTTTTTTAGTAAAAATGGGGGAAACAAATTACGAAGTAGAAAAGTAAGATCAAGTACATACAGAACATAAAAAAACCCAAAAAACAGACACACAAAAAAATCACCATGAAGAGTCATCACCATTAACTGCTCTCTCAGTTATTTTCAGTTCAAGACCAACAAAGGAATACTTGTATTTAATCAAATTAATACTTAATCTAGTTGAATATCTTGTTTCTGACAAAGATCAGGATATCTCCAAGAATGATGCAGGAGCCTGAAAGAAGGCAATTCATGCTATCATATGCAAGAACATGTCTATAGCTCAAATTTCATCCCAGTTTAATGCATAGCACAAGCCCTAAAGAATGAAAACTCTATCTTATTTATTATGGCTATAAAAACGTAATAGAGAATATTATGATACCCATGTAAATGTAAAGTCACGTCCCTTTGTGTTACCTGGTGCTATAGGAATTCATAGGCTCCTGCAGCCTATTGTCTTGCATAAATATCCTATTTTTTTTTTTTTTTAAAAAACCCACATTTCTATTTAATTGATTTTCTCTGATTCTTGATTAGCAAAGCCACCAAGGGCTTTGTGTTATAATTGTTTTGAAAGTTTAATTGCATTCACTTTCAAAATGTTTCCTGTGCAATGAAGTAGTTAAATATAACTTTTATAAGGCAGTTTCCTTGTAGGGAAATATTTCCATTCACCTGCCCATTTCCTGTCCTGCAACTACTGTGTTTCTCTTAAAATCCTTCTTTAAATGAGGTTTGTCTATTCAAATATTGTGTATATCTTTAAACTATATAATGATTTTCACATTTTTAGGATCAATCTCTATTTCTTTTTACTACTGCTGAATTTTGTTTGATTTTCTGTCATTAAGTTCTGAGCAGATATTTTCATAGAACTGCCCACCACACTGCTCCTGATTAACTACAGTTCTTTGCAAAACTTGTTTGCCTTTTTTTTATGATCATTGAATTCATATCCCGCTCTCCCCAGACCCCAACCTTGCTTTCTGGACTTCACACTTACTTGCAATACCCTTATCTCAATTACACTGAATAATTTTATATATTGGAGTCAACATACTGGTCTTCTGTTCCATTACATCATTTCTAGATATATCATATAGTAGTAATGTCATCTTGATAACAGCTATGCACAAATTTAATTTTAAGCATGTATCCAAGTCCCTTCAGGGCTGAGGCCCCACATTACTCAGGCTTGAATTATAATGCATGTGAAATATTCATTCCCATACTTAATTTGCTTTGCATCAGAACATAGGTTAGCTCTCTAGTCTTAGTTCTCCAAGGTTCTCTGGAATTTTCATTCATTACTTGGCTACTTAATCTTTTCAGGTCTGTCCTGAAGAATTTATCACAGATTTTGGAAAACTAAAAGAATTTTAACAACTGGTTATGTTTGTAACTAGTTTTCTGATACTGAAATAAATTTGGAAAGTTTACAGTGCTAAAATATACAGAAAATACAATACTTGGAAAAGCAAACAAACAGCCCAGCCACACACACACTTTCTACCATACATACCATAAAGGAATTGCTCATGTTAGTGACATCTTTCATATTTTTTATTAAAATTCTTTGATTTCATTCTTAAATTCCCTCAGAATCACAATGTAAACCATATGTTTTTGGTTACTTATTACAACTAAATTTAAGACTTTGTTCCACCACCATCTCTTTTGGCACCATAGTCTGCAACAATGTTGCTTCAACATTGGTTCTAAGGAGCAGCTCTCAGGTTGGTATCTCCACACAATGTCCTGCAGTGAATACTAATCCAAAGAAGGTGTTTAAGGGTTTTTTTAAAGTATTTTCAACACAATTTCTTTATTATTCCACAATAGTATATATAGATTTCCTGGTTTTCTTATGGGTTGACTTTTCCACATAGTATAATTAATCACTGATGCCTTCATGCAGAATTCTCCCTGTTCTTTCCCAGATTTCTTTTAGCATGGTCTCTCTTTCTACTTAGACGGTTTCCCTTGGACCTCTATTCTTTTTAATATGAAGCTTGGTTTGTGAAAGTCTTGTATACAAACAAACCACTTTTTTTCACGTATGTCCCTTTATACTTGCTGATGTAATTTGTTTTCTCTGCATAAAACTCTTGTCTCACTGATCTAAACGTATATTTTCCATTGATCTGAATGGCCCTAAGATCCCAAACTAAGTCTGTTGTAATATATGATGCAGCATTTGCTTCTCTAATAACTCATAGAAAAGAGAAAAATACTTTAAGGTACTGTCTGATCTGCTAAGGTGAAGGTCTGGGTCTTGAAATAACTTTTTCATTCATAAAATTTCCTTTACCAGAAGTTTTGCTTCTCTTGGTCAGTTGCCTAAATGAAAGTTTCAGAACTGGTCAGAACCTTCAAAAAGCACTATAAAATGTCATAAATATGACTGTTTCAAGCCATATCATAGATGTAGTTTTGTCTGAAGAAGGTGCATAGACCCAGTGTTTTTTTGTAAATAACTTTCAGCGTGACAAAAGTAATAGTTTCCAATAGTTATGTTTCAAAAATTTCATTGCATTTAATGTGTGATACGTCATAAATATTCAGATGTGAACCTGTCATTCTCAGTTATTCTATTTCTTTGCACATACGTTTTACTCTTCATAGATAGAAGTTAAATATTGGAAAAGGTATTTTTAAAGCATAAAACCAGATAACGTTGAGAAAAAGATGTTTTCAAATATGATGCTAAAGAAAGAAGCAAACATCTCCAAGCTCATGTGAACAGATTTTATATATATATATATATATTTTAGGCAATAGAGAAAATTAACTTAGAAAAGATCAGACATGGCTCAAATTTTGAAGATATTTTATAATGGCTAGATTAAGTTTTGCTACTGACATATTGAAATTAGTCAAGCTTTGTTAGGATCATAAAATCCAGCCATTTATGTTTAATACTTCCTGATTTTCTTATCTATAAAAAATTTTGGAAGTTTTCAAACAGCCAGAAGAATTTCAGTTGAATGAACTGCTTAGAAATCTCAAGCATAAGCAGAACTCTTTCCAAGTTTCAGACAAACTCTTTACAGGTTTTGATTTTCCTCATGAGTAGTGAGTATGAGATAAATGGAACTAGAGGCAAATGACTGGGCATTTTGAATAGAGGTGTCATCTGCATATACAGTAAAACTGTTTAGTACTATTTCAATTTAAGACAACCTTCATTTGATGAGCATAGTGCGGTGATCACACAATCAGTTCAATTCAAAGGCTTTTTAATAAATTACTCCTCTTCACCAAGATTATTGTCTTGAGAGAGTGAGTTATTAGATAGATGTATGCATAAAGGTGAACTTGCAAAATGAGACCACTGAGGACAAAAATCTAATGTAAAATTACTATATACCCTATTTTACAGGCAGAAACTCAATAAAGTTTTACGTCTTCCATAAATATAAAGACACATGTCTGACATAATCTGTCAGACAAGTTACTGGACCAGTATCTGCAACGAACTGATGGAGTAAGAATTCCAAGTGTGGCATCAGTACTGGAGATGCTCCAAATGCTGGAGAGCAAAGTGGTTAATTTTTGGTCAGATCATTAGAGAGCTCTTGAACTTATTTAACTGGGTAAAGTTAGATAGCCAACAAACATTCCTGTTGCCAAGT